CAAGCGCGGGCGCATTCTTCTTTCTCTTCCCGTTTCCCCTCCGCACCAATGTACTCCACGTCTCTCCCAGGGAGGAAGGGGCGGGATCAGGTGCCGATGAAGGTCCAGGTTCAACGCTGTACCTATCCGCAGCCAAAGGCGGCCTCAGGCGCTTCTCGGGAAGCAAGCGCTCCTCGAGAGCCTCGAATCGCGCGCTGATCAACGTCCCTACTTGAGACAGTACATCGCGCGCGATATCTTCAGCCTGCAGTGTCGGTGCCGGCGTTTGTTCCTTGGCGTTGCTAGCTACGCTATTTTCCAATTTCAGGCTCATTTCAGAGCCAGAATCTGACGCGGATATACCGCCTACCTCCTCTAAACTCCCTACTGTGGTTGATGTCAAAGGGCCATCCTCCTTTCTTTGGGCATCACAGCGTTCGAGCTGTACGCCTAACTCCTTTAGAACGTCATTTTCTTTTAGATTTTTCTTTTCCATTTTTATTCCCACGAGTTGGGACGATTTAGATGCACTCCCCGGGTTACGCCCATTCCGTTCGACTAAAAAGTGGAGTGGGGTACATACTGTGGAGGTCCCCAGGTATCCACAGGTTTTAACGAGGGTTCTCTCGGGCTTTATAGGGTTTTCCTTCCCGCGGGCCGGCCAATTAAGGCAAGCCCTCCGACCAGCGACACAGAAGCACTCACACATATACACACCCAAACACATACACATACACACACACACAAATACCCACACAACATCTCCAACTGGAGCCACCAGAAGGGTCGTTGAAGTGAGTCGCTGGTTGCGGAACGAGGAGTTGGCGAAATCTCCTCCGACGGTGGTGTCAGACGCAGTGAGATTAGTCAGCGCGCCGACCCGTCCTCCTAGGCCCTATCCGATGTGTTCTCTGCTGATGAGAGAATCACACGGAGAGCCCCTCCTTGTGCTGCTCTTCGTCTGGTCCCTCGCTCCGAGCCTGTCCGGTATGGGAGACCCTATCCGGCATAGCCTTGGAGGTCATTAGGACACGCAAGCCCCTCTTTGTGCTGCTCTTCGTCTGGTCCCTCGCTCCGAGCCTGTCCGGTATGGGAGACCCTATCCGGCATAGCCTTGGAGGTCATTAGGACACGCAAGCCCCTCCACCACAACTAGGTGGCAGCACGACGGGGGGTAGTGTCTGGTACCTAGACGATGTTACGCTAAGAGGTAAAGTTGGCAATGTACAAAGTGATCTTATAGAAATCATTAGACAATTTGAAAATATCGGTCTTGATTTAAATAATTCCAAATGTGAACTTTTCTTTTCCGAAAAGATTGCTTTTTCTGGCAAAATTATTATGAGTTTTTGTGAACAAATTGTTTTTACTAAATTCGCATATTGCGCTTACTATTTTGCGATATTGTATTCTTGTACCTAAACTTACGTACCTCCTTTGCTCGAGTCTAGTTTAGAAATGCGGTGACTTTCTGAACGAAATTGATTTTCAACTTAAATCAGCTCTAGAAAAGATTCTAAGTTTATCTCTTAATGAATTAAGCTGGATTCAAGCTACGCTGCCAACTCGTTTTGGTGGTATCGGTGTAAGGAAAATTTCTAGTATCGCTCTATCTGCCTTCCTTGCTTACCGTAAATAATTTATTTAGTAGTATCCTTAATCACAATTCAGAACTTTCCTATGCTGAGGAGTCTTGGCTGTCTATTTACTCCATCGAAAATATCCCACTGGAAGTAAACCTACAAAAGTGGTTTGGTGCGGCGAGTACAGATAGATACGTATAAATCTTTAGGATGTAATTCAGAATGTGCCCGTTTTCTAGGCATCTCAGCTAAAGAATCAAGTTATAGGCTTCACGATTTACCATCAAGTTAAACTTAGGCACATTATTTGACGATGAAAGCTTACGCATTGCTGTAGGAATCCGTCTAGGGGCACCGATTTGTCAATCACACTCTTGCGGTGTCAGTGTAGACAAATCATACCCTTGTGGTGTCAGTGTAGACAAATTTGATCTCGACATCATCCATATGGCTCTTGTTTCCATCGATGTTCCCTCTATTTTAGAGTTCTGTGGCATTTTCCGCGACGATATGGTAAGAGATCTGACGATTTAACATTGATCACTTGGGAGAGAGGCAAAGCCCATGTTTGGGACGCTATTTGTGTAGACACTTTGGCTGCCTCTCATCTAAGAGGTACTTCGGTCACAGTCGGGGCGGCATCAGAGACAGCTGAAGTAAGCAAATGGCGCAAATATGAGTCTTTATGTTTAGATTATGTATTTGTGCCATTTGCTGTTGAACATTTAGGTCCGTGAGGGGGACATCAAATTTTTTTTAAATTTATAACCTAGGCTTAACGCCGCAGCTGGTGACAAGAGAGCTGGTTCTTTTCTCGCTCAAAGGTTTAGCATAACTATTCAGCGAGGAAATGATTGATAATATTGTTAGGTTTATTAGACAATATGTATAAAATTTCCTGAATAACCTGCATGTATTGTAAGATAATAAAAATATTTTAAACAATATTAAGTTCTCATTTATTCAATAAAAGAAAAAAAATTGATTTCTTATCGGTCACCACGCTCAAAAATTGTAAATTGAATTAATATCAAAAAATACTGCATAAATAAAAAATAAATAAATAATTATAATTGCATAAGTTGATAAAAAATGCAATGCAATAGCTTTACCGCGGCAGTGATTCCGCTTCGTGCTCTCGTACGGAACGGACCTCTCTCTAAGACGGAGGGCTAATACCACCCGAATTAGACGCTACTCGCAACTTCAGTTGCAATTTAAATCTTTGTGCAAGCAGTAGTTTAGTGTTAGCGTTGTGCTCATAGGCAGGTTCCTGTTCTGTAAGTAGAATTCTATACACACTTCTCGCCTCAGAGGCGGCATTGTTTTTATTTAATAACTGTGTGCTTGTTGCGATAGGCGACAGCTAGGTACCCCCCCTAGCGCACCTAAAACGCAGGCAGATTAGTTGTTAGTTTTAGGCACATACCTCCCTGCCGCAAGGTGGGGAGGCCTATTTAGTAACTTACACGCCGGCGGGGAGCAAGCCCCAAAGGCTCAAGCGCTCGAAATGGGTTCCCTCCTAGAGGAATTCCTTGGCCAACGATGTCCCGAAGTGTGGGCAAACTTTCTCGCGTTCGCGAAAGAAAAATATTTAGTCGTCGAGTTCGCCAGCGATAGCCTGGCTTCACCGGCATTCGCCTCGCCGTCATCTCCGGCGCCCTCTGCGCCCGCTAATGCGTCGCCTTCAGCGACACAAGAAATGCCCGTCGTGGCGACCTCCGCCGCCGCGATCGTACCCATCGCGCCTTCCGCGCACCCCATCTCGGCCCCCTTTCGCGCCGTCGTTCCCGACTCACAATCGGACGGCGGCTCGGACATGGAGGTCGAAACGTCCCCCGCTGAAAACGCGAACGTCGACGGCTTCACCGTCGTAAAGTCGCGTAAGAAGGGCAAAAAACGCCCCGCTGCCGACAGCGACCCCGAATGCTAGGCCGCTTCAACTAACCAACCCACCGTGACGCCCGCCAAAGAGGCGGCCGCGGCGGCTAAACCGACGCCCGAATTCACCTCCGAGCGAAAAATAAAGCCTCCTCCACCCATCATCATTCAGGAGAAGGCTAAGTGGCACCAAGTCTGTTAAATACACAAATCTACAAAATACACAATACACAAATCCGCGTTTACCTTGACACAACGGACGATTTCCGCCGCGTAACAAAATACTTGCGCGAAAATAAGATAGGTTTTCACTCCTACTCGTTGCCCGAAGAACGCAAGCTTCGGGTAGTTATCAAGGGCGTCCCCAAAGAGTCGGATGTCGACAAGGCGAAAACCGACATCCGCACTCAGGGTATCCTGTGCATGCCGTCCGACGCCTCAGACACCCCAGAACCCGTGACCCTATGGACATGGTGATGGTTGAACTTGACCCTACCCCGGAAGGTAAGGCCATCTTCAACCTGAAGAGGGTCAGTGGGCTCAGCGACCTCGTGATCGAGCCACCGCGAAGATCGGGAGTTGTGGCGCAGTGCCACAACTGCCAACACTATGGCCACACGGCTGATAACTGTTTCGCTCACCCTAGGTGCGTCAAATGCACCGGTGACCACGGCACGCCTGATTGTACGCGGCCGAAAGATTGCGCAGATCCACCAGACTGCGTCAATTGTCATACCACCGGCCACCCGGCTAGCTACAGGGGCTGCGCTAAGGCCCCAAAAACTCCCGCGAGAAAAGCTCCCGCGAAATCAACTTTGCCCAAACCCGCGCCCGTGAAATACGTTCCCGCGCCCGTACCCGTCGTAAACGCCTGGGTGAAACCCCACGTGGTCGCACAGGTAGTTACGCCCCCGGTCACCTCACGACCAATCGCTCAATCGCAGCCCGCCTATCAAACGGCGCCGACGCCGCAGGTGCAGTCGACACCGTCGATTTTCGCTGAAAACAAGGACGACCCGTTCGCCCAAATTGCCAACTTCTGCGCCTTATTAGACCGCATTAATAGACAAGAACTCGCCCTATTGTCCACTAAAATAGCGGCCGCCACATCTGGCACCGCGCGATTTAAAGCCATTAGCGAACATAAAATGCTTGTAGAAGCCCTTTCGGCATTTACAAGCCAACCATAAACTTAATAGTCCGCGCAATAAAACCGCGCTCCGCCGCGTCGTTAGTTAGAACTCATAAAAAACTTAATGGGAAGTACAACCGCAGGTAGAACAAAACCTCGGACTCTGGTTGTTTCGTATTTCAACGCAAACGGCATTAAGGGTCAAAGGGACGAAATCGCAGATTTCCTTTGCGATTATAATGTAGATATTTTTCTAGTGCAAGAATCGCAAACTACAACATAGTCCGCCACGACCGGTTAGCAAACCGTCTGGGAGGCACCTTAATTTATTACAAACGGTCCTTGCACTGCAGCCCGCTCGACATTCCAGAGTTAAGCCATATAGAGGCATCGGCGTGTAGGTTAGCGACTCACCGGCCATAGGCCGCTTGTACTAGTCTCAGCCTACCTCTAGGGAAACAAAACCTTAGTACAAAGCGACCTAGATACGCTACTCAACTTAGGCCCTTCCGTGATAATTGTAGGAGATCTAAACTGCAAACACGGCTCATGGGACATCCACAGCATCCCAAATAACAACGGGAAGCATCTCTTTAGCTTATCCGATATTTTAAACTTTAGCATAATTGCTCCTGCGACTCCCACTAGGTATTCTACGGTGGATAACTACCAACACGCGACACCGAGTATCCTAGATATCATGTTATTCAAGGAGGTCTCGCTCGACATCGAGTCGATAGAGACAATCCATGAACTGGATTCAGATCACAGACACGTCTTGTGTAAACTGGGCCAGAACGCTGGCGCGGTCCCTCCGACCAAATCCGTAGTGGACTGGCATCGTCTTGAGGTCAAACTCAAGGCCTTGGACCCCCAAGACTTAGTCGACCTACCCGAGACGATAGCTACGTTTGATGACACAAATCGAGCGATAGCAAGTCTCCGAGAAACCATCACTTCCACAGTCGCACACTCGGAACGGACGGTTAAACTGTCGGGCGACCGACAATTTAATTTTCCGCCCGACCTGCGACTGCTAATTAGGCAGAAAAATGCAGCCAAACGCTCTTTCGACCGATACCGATCGGAATCGAACCGAACCCTACTTCGACGCCTTCAGCTAGAAGTCAAAGATCGTGTATCGTACAACGTGGGACCATCGCACACCGCCTACTGGCGGTTGGCCCGCAGTCTGAAAGCAGACACCCGCGAATCTCTACGCCGTTAGTTAGACCTAATAGCGCTTCAGTAGCCCTAGATGACTCCGAAAAAGCCGAATGCCTTGCGGACAACCTAGAGCAGCAATGTACGCCATCGCGCGAACACATCGATGCAGCCCACCTAACGGAGGTGGACCGCGTAATGGAGATTAGGGTTGCGCTTCCACCGAAAGGCGATCCTTTGAATTCAGTGACCCCCGAAGAGGTTCAAGATATTATTAAAAACTTAAAACCCAAATCCACCCCGGGCCCAGATTATATTAGTAACAAAATTCTTATAGCTATCCCTGGGCCGCTTATCTGTTTACTGGCGACCATTTACAATACTTTACTCTCCAGTTGCTCCTTTCCGGACGACCGGAAAGAAGCCACGGTTATCGGCATTCGTAAGGCGAATAAACCAGCCAACCAGCCCTCTAGTTATCGTCCCATCAGCCTCCTCAGTTGCCTGGGGAAGCTCTACGAGCAGGCTTAATGAGCACGTGTTTTCCAACGGCCTTCTGCCGGCGGAACAATTCGGCTTTCGAGTCAGACATTCCTGTCCCCATCAACTATTCCGCCTAACGGAACATATCCTAAAGGCAAGGCCTAAATCATCCTAAACATATTAGTACAGGGGCTCTTTTCTTCGATATCGCAAAAGCATTCGACAAGGTCTGGCACAACGGGCTTTTACTTGCTTTTGCTTGCTTTACAAGCTGTACACACTCAAAGTGCCAGATAGGCTCGTACACACCATCCGGGCCTTCCTGTCGAACCGCTCTTTTCGATATCAAGTTGAAAGCACCCTCTCCACAAGCCGCCGCCTCACGGCCGGCGTACCACAGGACTCCTGCCTTTGCTCTTTACGCTCTACACGAGCGCTATATCTAAAGACCACCACGTCAATCCCCCATGTCGGATGACATGGCGCTCTTTTATTCAGACCGCAACCTTAGATAACTAACCACTCGACTCCAAAGCGCTGCCGACCGCCTCGGCGATTGGTTCCGCAAATGGAGAATAGAAATAAATCCCGAAAAGAGTGTGGCGATTCACTTCACACTAAGTACTTACCCGTTACATCTTTATAATGGCCCTCGTCAATGCAGAAAGTTGGGGCAAATATCCCTTTATGGCCGCTCCCCTGGGAGAAAAAGGTCAAATACTTAGGAGTCACTTTCGACTCGCGTCTGTCATTTACTACGCACATTAATAACGTTCGCAATAGAGCCGCGTTCATCTCCGGCTGGCTACACAATTTAACTAACGCTAAAAGTAAAATGCCCTTAAGGCACAAATTATTATTATATAAGACCTGCGTACGACCTATTATGTCTTACGCATACATGACCTTCGCCCACACGCACCCTACTCGCTTGTACAAGTTGCAAATAGTACAAAATAAGTTCATCCGCCGCGCAACCGGTGCGCAGTGGGATCAACGCAACGTCGACCTGCACAGCGATTGCAGACTCCCGACGATTCGCGAATATTTTAAAGACCTGACCAAACGGTTCTTCGATAGAGCCGAACATCATCTCAACCCTCTGGTGATTAAAACTTTGTGTTTTAATTGATTATTGTTTAAGCCGAAGTTAATACTGAGTCAAAAACAAATCCTCAGAGACTAGTCTAAAAGACAGGTCTTTTTTTTACGTGGGAAAAATCCTTTAGGTAGACAGCGAGGGTATGTGAGAGTCCCCATGAACACGGGGGTACCCAATAAAAACCCACGTTGCACTTGCGCTGTCGCTTTTGCCGGGGACACGGGAACACGAAAAAACAATCTTCCGCGAACCCCGGCGCGACTGTGGCCTTCTAAGGCCTCATCTCTGCGGGTATTTAGACACCCGGTCCAGCCAATGGACCAGTGCAATGGACATGGCACCCCTCTCGATCCCTCCACGGGGCAGCAGTTAATCCTACATCTGCCACCCCTGGGCTCGCTATCAGGGAGAAGGTTGCGCGCGTAGGCCATCCTCCTGCGCCCTAGTCTCCGGCGGCTGATTTCCAGGGTGGCAGTTTCCCTCCCTTCACGCTCCGTGGCCTCCTTCCGGGTGATTATGTCCTCACAAAAAGCAAGAACAGCACCAAACGCCCTCTCGCTGTCCACCATAGCACGAAACACGGCAAGCAGCGAGAGGTCGTGCCCCACGATAGCACACAGTTCTCGGCGCTGCTCCATCCAGGCTGGGCACTCTTTCAGCGCGTATGGGCCGTCTCCTTCGCGGGGGCTCGATCACGAGGTCGCTGAGCCCACAGACCCTCTTCAGGTTGAAGATGGCCTTACCTTCCGGGGTAGGGTCAAGTTCAACCATCACCATGTCCATAGGGACACGGGTTCTGGGGTGTCTGAGGCGTCGGACGGCATGCACAGGGTATCCCTGAGTGCGGATGTCGGTTTTCGCCTTGTCGACATCCGACTCTTTGGGGACGCCCTTGATAACTACCCGAAGCTTGCGTTCTTCGGGCAAAGAGTAGGTGTGAAAACCTATCTTATTTTCGCGCAAGTATTTCGTTACGCGGCG